AAAATTCGGTTTTTGTTAGGAAAATTAAGTGATCACAGATTTTCTTTCTTTTTGCCATAGAGCCTTTAGTTTAGCCAGAAAATGGACTTTTATGTTTTCACCCAAAAATTCGGTTTTTGTTGGGATAATTAAGTGATCACAGATTTTCTTTCTTTTTGCCCTAGAGCCTTTAGTTTAGCCAAAAAATGGACTTTTATGTTTTCACTTAAAAATTCGGTTTTTGTTGGGAAAATTTAGTGATCACAGATTTTCTTTCTTTTTGACCCAGAGCCTTTAGTTTAGCCAGAAAATGGACTTTTATGTTTTCACTTAAAAATTCGGTTTTTGTTGGGAAAATTTAGTTATCACAGATTTTCTTTCTTTTTGCCCTAGAGCCTTTAGTTTAGCCAGAAAATGGAATTTTATGTTTTCACCCAAAAATTCGGTTTTTGTTGGGAAAATTAAGTGATCACAGATTTTCTTTCTTTTTGCCCTAGAGCCTTTAGTTTAGCCAGAAAATGGACTTTTATGTTTCCACCCAAAAATTCGGTTTTTTTTTTGGGAAAATTAAGTGATCACATATTGTCTTTCTTTTTGCCCTAGGGCCTTTAGTTTAGCCAGAAAATGGACTTTTATGTTTTCACTTCAAAATTCGGTTTTTGTTGGGAAAATTTAGTGATCACTGATTTTCTTTCTTTTTGCCCTAGGGCCTTTAGTTTAGCCAGAAAATGGACTTTTATGTTTTCACCCAAAAATTCGGTTTTTGTTGGGATAATTAAGTGATCACAGATTTTCTTTCTTTTTGCCCTAGAGCCTTTAGTTTAGCCAGAAAATGGAATTTTATGTTTTCACCCAAAAATTCGGTTTTTGTTGGGAAAATTAAGTGATCACAGATTTTCTTTCTTTTTGCCTTTAGTTTAGCCAGAAAATGGACTTTTATGTTTCCACCCAAAAATTCGGTTTTTTTTTTTGGGAAAATTAAGTGATCACATATTGTCTTTCTTTTTGCCCTAGAGCCTTTAGTTTAGCCAGAAAATGGACTTTTATGTTTTCACTCAAAAATTCGGTTTTTGTTGGGAAAATTAAGTGATCACAGATTTTCTTTCTTTTTGCCCTAGAGCCTTTAGTTTAGCCAGAAAATGGACCTTTATGTTTTCACCCAAAAAATCGGTTTTTGTTGGGATAATTAAGTGATCACAGATTTTCTTTCTTTTTGACCTAGGGCCTTTAGTTTAGCCAGAAAATGGACTTTTATGTTTTCACTTAAAAATTCGGTTTTTGTTGGGAAAATTTAGTGATCACAGATTTTCTTTCTTTTTGCCCCAGAGCCTTTAGTTTAGCCAGAAAATGGACTTTTATGTTTTCACTCGAAAATTCGGTTTTTGCTGGGAAATTAAAGTGATCACAGATTTTCTTTCTTTTTGCCCTAGGGCCTTTAGTTTAGCCAGAAAATGGACTTTTATGTTTTCACTTCAAAATTCGGTTTTTGTTGGGAAAATTTAGTGATCACAGATTTTCTTTCTTTTTGCCCTAGAGCCTTTAGTTTAGCCAGAAAATGGACTTTTATGTTTTCACCCAAAAATTCGGTTTTTGTTGGGAAAATTTAGTGATCACAGATTTTCTTTCTTTTTGCCCCAGAGCCTTTAGTTTAGCCAGAAAATGGACTTTTATGTTTTCACCCAAAAATTTGGTTTTTGTTAGGAAAATTAAGTGATCACAGATTTTCTTTCTTTTTGCCCTAGAGCCTTTAGTTTAGCCAGAAAATGGACTTTTATGTTTTCACCGAAAAATTCGGTTTTTGTTGGGATAATTAAGTGATCACAGATTTTCTTTCTTTTTGCCCTAGAGCCTTTAGTTTAGCCAAAAAATGGACTTTTATGTTTTCACTTAAAAATTCGGTTTTTGTTGGGAAAATTTAGTGATCACAGATTTTCTTTCTTTTTGCCCCAGAGCCTTTAGTTTAGCCAGAAAATGGACTTTTATGTTTTCACTCGAAAATTCGGTTTTTGTTGGGAAAATTAAGTGATCACAGATTTTCTTTCTTTTTGCCCTAGAGCCTTTAGTTTAGCCAGAAAATGGACTTTTATGTTTTCATTCAAAAATTCGGTTTTTGTTGGGAAAATTAAGTGATCACAGATTTTCTTTCTTTTTGCCCTAGGCCCTTTAGTTTAGCCAGAAAATGGACTTTTGTGTTTTCACTCAAAAATTCGGGTTTTTCTAGGAAATTAAAGTGATCACAGATTTTCTTTCTTTTTGCCCTAGAGCCTTTAGTTTAGCCAGAAAATGGACTTTTATGTTTTCACCCAAAAATTCGGTTTTTGTTGGGAAAATTAAGTGATCACAGATTTTCTTTCTTTTTGCCCTAGAGCCTTTAGTTTAGCCAGAAAATGGACTTTTATGTTTTCATTCAAAAATTCGGTTTTTGTTGGGAAAATTAAGTGATCACAGATTTTCTTTCTTTTTGCCCTAGGCCCTTTAGTTTAGCCAGAAAATGGACTTTTGTGTTTTCACTCAAAAATTCGGGTTTTGCTAGGAAATTAAAGTGATCACAGATTTTCTTTCTTTTTGCCCTAGAGCCTTTAGTTTAGCCAGAAAATGGACTTTTATGTTTTCACTCACAAATTCGGTTTTTGCTAGGAAATTAAAGTGATCACAGATTTTCTTTCTTTTTGCCCTAGAGCCTTTAGTTTAGCCAGAAAATGGACTTTTATGTTTTCACTCGAAAATTCGGTTTTTGCTGGGAAATTAAAGTGATCACAGATTTTCTTTCTTTTTGCCCTAGAGCCTTTAGTTTAGCCAGAAAATGGACTTTTATTTTTTCAACCAAAAATTCGGTTTTTGTTAGGAAAATTAAGTGATCACAGATTTTCTTTCTTTTTGCCCTAGGCCCTTTAGTTTAGCCAGAAAATGGACCTTTATGTTTTCACTCAAAAATTCGGTTTTTTTTGGGAAATTAATGTGATCACAGATTTTCTTTCTTTTTGCCCTAGGGCCTCTGGATTAGCCAGAAAATGGACTTTTATATTTTCACTCAAAAATTCGTTTTTTGCTAGGAAATTAAAGTGATCACAGATTTTCTTTCTTTTTGCCCTAGAGCCTCTGGTTTAGCCAGAAAATGGACTTTTATGTTTTCACTTAAAAATTCGGTTTTTGTTGGGAAAATTTAGTGATCACAGATTTTCTTTCTTTTTGCCCCAGAGCCTTTAGTTTAGCCAGAAAATGGACTTTTATGTTTTCACTCGAAAATTCGGTTTTTGCTGGGAAATTAAAGTGATCACAGATTTTCTTTCTTTTTGCCCTAGGGCCTTTAGTTTAGCCAGAAAATGGACTTTTATGTTTTCACTTCAAAATTCGGTTTTTGTTGGGAAAATTTAGTGATCACAGATTTTCTTTCTTTTTGCCCCAGAGCCTTTAGTTTAGCCAGAAAATGGACTTTTATGTTTTCACCCAAAAGTTCGGTTTTTGTTAGGAAAATTAAGTGATCACAGATTTTCTTTCTTTTTGCCATAGAGCCTTTAGTTTAGCCAGAAAATGGACTTTTATGTTTTCACCCAAAAATTCGGTTTTTGTTGGGATAATTAAGTGATCACAGATTTTCTTTCTTTTTGCCCTAGAGCCTTTAGTTTAGCCAAAAAATGGACTTTTATGTTTTCACTTAAAAATTCGGTTTTTGTTGGGAAAATTTAGTGATCACAGATTTTCTTTCTTTTTGACCCAGAGCCTTTAGTTTAGCCAGAAAATGGACTTTTATGTTTTCACTTAAAAATTCGGTTTTTGTTGGGAAAATTTAGTTATCACAGATTTTCTTTCTTTTTGCCCTAGGGCCTCTGGATTAGCCAGAAAATGGACTATTTCACTCAAAAATTCGGATTTTGTTGGGAAATTAAAGTGATCACATATTTGCAGAAAATGGACTTTTATGTTTTTTTTTTTTTAAATTCGATTTTCGTTGGAAATTAAAGTGATCACAGATTTTCTTTCTTTTTGCCCTAGGGCCTCTGGTTTAGTCAGAAAATGGACTTTTATGTTTTCACTCAAAAATTCGTGAAAGTGATCACAAATTTATTTTCTTTTTGTCCTAGGGCCTTCAGTTTAGCCAGAAAAATGGACTTTTATGTTTTCTTTGAAAAATTCGGTTTTTGTTGGGAAATTATTTTTTTTTCTTTTTGCCCTACCTTCTTTAATTTGGCCAGAAAATGGACTTTTATTTCCATTTTATGTCCAGACTAATCTGAACTAACATGTTCCGACTTTGTTTTATTAAAATTTGTATGACTTGTCTTCTGTCCTTTGGGTCTTCTGAATTTTTGGGTCTTAATAAAGTTTTGTTGTTGAATTCTGATATGTGACCCTATGCATACCGCATACTATTTCTTCTATATCTCATTGGAGCACGGGGTGACTGTAACAGCCGACCGCAATCGGACCAGGTTTTGTGCTATAGATTTAATTTACATTCATCTCAATGAATCTGAGAAATGGTTCTTCTATTTTAGTTTATGGGCCAATTTTAATAATTACATCTACCCTACACCTCACTTTCTGAATCCATAAAGAAGTCAGTTTGCAATATTTAAGATTTGATTGAAAATGATTGGAATAGGTTCATTATTTAACCTAACTTCCATATAACCGTACCCCCGCATAAAGCTTTTGAGCTCATAACTCTGTTAAATGTACTATTATCTCTACTAAAATCAGCATAACACAGTTTTATACAAGTCTAAATGATACTGCTGATTATTTGACCCTAGCCCCCATACAAAGTCTCCTATAAGTTGCAAACATTAGCTCAAATGCTCTATATTCTCCACAGTGGTGTAGGGTACAATCAATAGTTATTCTTTTTCTATTTCGCCATTAACATTCTCTTAGATTAAGGACACTTTATTTACATTACAATAATTTCAAGCACATTTTATTTTAATAACAGAAAGCTTTTTGTAAAATTAAAAGAAAGCTTTTTCATTTGTTTTGACATTTGTAAAAAACAAAAACTGCACTTTTTATTTAGTTGTTAATTAGCGCAGTTTCGGTAGAGTCAGTCGTCGTCCCCTGCTATGGGGTTCATTCATTAAACATAGAAAAGTGCATTAGGCAATTAGAAAATATTTACATAAATTCATTATTTAGTTTTAAAATTTCATCATAACAAGATTTTTATTACGATATTCTATAACAACGAGAATAAAAATGTGTGGCAATAAAAATTGAAAACAAATAAGAAAAATATACAAAAAAAAAAAAAATAAATTAATAAATAATTAAAAAAACAAAAAAATAAAAATGAAAGAAAGTTATTGTGATTTTATGGCTGGTTGTTTTGGTGGCAAGTGAAATTTAATATTTAAAATAAATTCATAATAATAATAATTCATTCTAACACAATATTATTTAACACACAAGTTAATAATAAAATAAATGCCTTGTTGTGCACTTTCACTTGCATGGTGATGTAATAAAATAATAGAAACAAAATTTTAATTAAAAGTAATCACCAATTTCCTAAAGAACCTATTAAACTATTAAAGCTTTAGTTTGTTTTAAACAAACTATTTAATTGTGTGCACAATTTTCCAAAATTATCTTAACCTTCCTTTAGTGCGTAACGAAACAGTTGGTCAAGTTCATGTTTGGCGCCCGTGATCTCTTTTTATTTTATTTAAAATAATAAATAATTCTCAATTTCTCTCCTCTCAATCTCCCTCTCTTAGAAACCCACCGTTATACTCTTATAAACATATGTTTTTGTAAAGAAATATGTCTAACGGTTGTTGCAATTCTCTAGTAGTGTTATCGTTTTCATTTACAAGTTATTCGATTACAGATTAATCGTTAACAATATGACGTTTCATTGGTGACATAATTTTTAAATGACGTAGGTTTTAGAGACTGAATTTATAAGTGTTTGAATTATATATAAGTGATGTGATGTGTATTTGATATAAAAACCAATTCCGTTATAATTTTTTATTTAAAAACAACATCATTCTTAATGAGAAGACCTATGTATATAAAAGCTGTTCCCAAATACGATTTTATGTGATTTATTTCTAATTTATTGCTAATACCCATACTTTGCTAAACGGATAGTTCTAAACTGGTTCACAAAGCAGGGGTTCTACATTGAAGACACAGAAACAGAAATATACTACCGTCCACCTAATCACAACACTAGTATCCAGGCAGATGTCCAAGCGATAACGGAATGCGTAAATTGGACTAGAATAAAATGGCGCTAACAGCAATTAGGGTGATAACGGGTGTTAAAGTTATATCTAAGATCGCATTGGATTGTGAAAAAGATTTTACCGAATACTCTCCTAGATGTTAAAAGTTAGTACCAGGCCACTCAGGAGTATTCGGCAACTAAAGAGCGAATGTACTAGCTTGAAAGGGAAGGGAGCTCAAGGTAGTTAACCTTATGAACGCAAAATCATTCGACGCAACGAGAGAAGAAGGGAAGGTCCTAAAGAGAGCAGAGAAGGGAGCCTCCTCGAAATGAGCAATTCTGAGGTTGGTATGATGGTACCTATTCTGAGTAGACACAGGATTAAGGACACAGCTATACGAGATTGGAGGCAATTGGTTGAGACAAATTCAGAGCATGTGGAGAGGACAGTGAAAATCAGGAGCACTTTTTTTGTCATTGTCAGGCTTTCGTCTAAATTAAATACAGATATCTTGGGAGTGATATTATTACATCCCTCACGAACTTTGATTGATTGATTCTTAGGAATTACGTCCACGAAACTTAGTTTCTGAACATCGGGCGATAATACCATCATTGATCATTTCGATGTCCACGATTAAACTTTAATCGAATAACTATAAACACTAACCAAAACACGTACATTTTCACATTTTTATAAACGTAATTAGTGGCAAAGCACGTTGCTGTAATTTTTTTTCGATCTTATTCTTTTTTCTTGGCAGATGTTTCTTGATCTATAATAACAAGTGGCTGCAGCATGAGAATTAGCTAGTTGTTTGTTATATTCGACTAGACTATGGCAAATAATTTGTTTATAATAATTGTTTTTATTTGTTCATAATTTACATGCATAAATAATTTAGTATTAATTAGGTAAAAAGAAGCTTTTGTAAATATGCGCACATTGGCTAATTTTGTAATAAATTAGAACCAATTATAAATTATAATTTAGAAGTGTTTATGTTTATTTTCAATTTGGTGAAATTTTTGTTATATTTTTATCACATGTCTTCTAGTAAATACATAAATAGGTATTTATAACTGATTCCCGTGGTTTGTGGAATTTGTGTGATTAAGATTAAAGGCGTCAATAACATGATTTTTCTAGGGCTACATGTAAAGGGAATTTTAAGCTTGTATTCCGACACTTGAAATTTTCTATTAATGTATGCTATAGTGGGACGATTTGTAATATATTTGGCCGTTTGCTGAAAATTTTACAAAACTGCGTAATGATTTTAAAATTTTCTTGCTAATTGGCATTATATGTGTAAATTGTGTTTATGTAGGTGTGAGTCTGTGCATCTATCATTTTCTATATGCCGGCAGAAGAGAATAAAGAATAGTATATATAAATAATTTGAAAGCGTTTTCACATATTACATTTGTTGTTTTTTCATATAAAAACAATGTTGCCAAAAGTGTATTGACTTTCACGTTAAAAATAGGCAGTTTGCACTTAGAATAGGGGAATTAAGGGGAAGAAGATTTTTCAAAAATATTATCTGATGATGTGCAAAAATTTTTGGTGTTGAAAAAGGAAACGGCAAAAATTAGTCTGACCATCTGTAGCATAAAATTGAGGAAAATTACGGAAAAAAATCTCGGAAACTAGTACCTATTGCTAGTCCCCCAATTTATTATCCAAATGTTCACATTGATGTAAAAGTTCTTGGTGCAAATTTCTAGATCTGGAGATACCAAATGTTGACATGGATGTCAGAGTTGTTGCAAATTTTAGCTCTAATAGTTTCCCAGATATACGAATTTTTGATTTTAGTTCATATAAAAAGTTCCAAGGCCCTCAAATGAATGTCAGAATATGGGTGCTACCCCCCATTGCTTGTCCGCAAATTTATTACCCAAACTTGGATGTCTAAGTTGTTCGTTCAAAATTTCTGTCAAGAGGATTTTAGCTCAAACAGAGTGACGATACACGAAGTATTTTATTTAATTTATATTGGAGTTTCCAAACCCCCCTAATGAAAGTCTGCTCATTTCCCCTCAAATGTTCACAAGGATGTTAAAGTTCTTTTTTGCAAAATGTGAAAATTATGCCTCTAATCGTTTCCCAGACAAACGTTTTTTTTTTCTTTACATATAGTGGCGCCACGCCCCTTTTTACAGTCCGCCCATTTTTTGTTCTAAATATTCTTGTTAATTTGCTATAATGTCAGCCTGACCTATATACAATATTCGCGGCAACATAGGAATCTTTATCGATAGTCAAGCGGCACTTCTCTCACTAAACTCTTATACTACCACTTCCCTATTAGTTAGACAATGCAAGAAGGATCTGTCAAGACTGGGTAGTAGGCGGGACTTATCGAGGCTAATAGCAGTAAAAACAGGACACTGGGTGATAGGCAGACATGCAAATCGGCTTGGGCTCCCCTTTAAAGATCAGCAGTTGCAAAGACAGGTAAAAGGAAGAAACGGTCTTCCATCTTCACTGTGAATGCTCTGCTCTGGCCGTAATGAGAAACCGCTTCCTTGGCAGTTACTTCATATCTAACTTTGGTGAGATATCTGCTTAATTACCCAGATGACGGCTACAGGCTGTATATAATACTATAAATACTACATCTGACGAGTGAAGTGGTCCGTTCAAAACGGAGTCTCTTCGACTGTACTCGACAGTTCGCGTGCAGTGAACTACCACGTTAACCAACCAACCATTCTTGTTAATGCTAAAGTGGTTCTCAGTTATACTCAGATATATGATTTTCTTAAATTGTGAATTTAAGTGTAAAAAAGTCAGTTCTCACTCTCATGGACCTTACTTTACATGTTTACAGAATTTTGTCCAAATCGGTGACTATGGGAAATACAATTTTAAATTTAAAATGGAATTTTCTTATATATAAGTTTGAAGGTCTGGGAATTTGATCAACATTTTCAGATTTAAAAGTTATTAGATTGAACTTTTTACTTATACCTTTTAAAAGTATAAAGGACATATAAATAGACAAAAATCTTAACCAAGTTGTAAAAAACCACGTTTGGCGTTACACCCCTATTGGGAATCTGTCAATAAATGTCTAATTTAATGATTTGGTACAACGTTGAAACACAAGCAAATATATCAAAAAAATATAAAAATACATTTCGCACATATTCTGATTAACAATGCCTGACAATTGAATGACCAAAAATTATCTTTAAAGATTTCAAAAGAAAGAAAAAAAAGAAAACCAATTAAAATTAAATAATATATATTTTTCGAAACCCCCTCACAGGTGCTTGTGGAGTATTAATAGCACATCCTTTGGATACTATAAAAACATGGCAGCAGGCCTCAAATACCTCAGTACCCACAGCCACGCAACAGATCTACAAACGTAACAGAGGGGTAGGAAATGTTGTATAATGATATATAAAATTGAGTTAATTTTTGTGCCTTTCTATTCCTCTAGATCAATGGATTTTATAGGGGTATGTTTTTTCCATTTGTCACAACGGGCGCCATTAATTCGATTTTATTCGGGGTGTATGGCAATCATTTGCGGCAGCTGAGAATGGTGTGTCACAGTGACTATCAACGGGAACAATTGGAAGATAAAAATATATTTGTGGCCGGTTCGGTGGCAGGTTTTGTGCAATCCTTCATAGCCTGTCCCATAGAATTGATAAAAGTGCGTCTACAGACCCAACATTGTAAATACTGAATCGTATTAAAATTGGAAGTTGTTTAAAAATCTCTTTCTTTTTTAGTTTACAGCGATTACGTCTATGGCATACGCAGAACCACGTATGGTACGTTTAAAAAGATCTTACAAACTGATGGTATATCGGGACTTTATCGCGGCTTAATACCCATGATGTGTCGGTAGATTTTCGAACATTTTTTGTGAATCCTTATAGGAACAGATTGTTTAAGATTTTATTTTTTTATTCTTCTAGTGATGTCTTTCCTTATGGTATTTATATGTTGGCTTATCGTCATACCACTACGTATATAGATGAAACTGAATTTGTACAAAATCGTCGGCGTTTACGCAAAGATGATGAGGCTAAAGTGGATTTTGTGGTAACAACATTGGCTGGCGCCTGGGCTGGTATTTTATCGTGGGTTTGTGTTATACCATTCGATGTGGTCAAGACCATAATGCAGGCTGAAGAAAGTCGTCAATATCGTAATATTTGGCATTGTCTAACGAAGAATTTTAAGGTAAATACAAATTATATTTTAATTGAAAAACAAATTCCTAATTTAAATTCTTTTGTTTTCATCATACAGCGTTATGGTTGGCGTAGATTATTCCGCGGTAGCTGGATGCTGGTGGTTCGTGCTATACCCTTTAATGCTGCTACCTTTGTGGGTTATGAATATGCTCTTGAATGGTGTCATAAAGTTTGGCATATACAAAAATCTGCCCCTAAATTTATTTAAGTTTTAGTTTTTATAACTTTTAATTGGTAGAAAATCAATATTGGCTGTGTAAATTAAATAAAATTATTAGAAATATGCACATAAAATGATTTTTATATTAAAATATTAAAAAAAACTTCCCATACCGGGAATCGAACCCGGGCCTTCTGGGTGAAAGCCAGATATCCTAGCCACTAGACCATATGGGATATGAAAACTGCAATGAATATTATTAATGCAGTTGTGCTACTTTGACTGCAGATTTATAAACGTATGGAAATGCCCAAAAAGCTTTAGAAATTCAGTCACCCTCATTCATATATGCTCTTTCTATAGAAAGAGCAGAAACTTAAACAAAAGCTCATTGGAATCACACAAGTGTGAGTTTTGTTTGTGTTTTAATACAGCTTTTTACACACATTCATTCACATTTAGATTTTAGACAGCTAAGTTTCCACTCATAGAGCTTTCTCTACACTTTTCCATGCAAGCTTTTTCAATTATATACACAATGAGAGGTGTTGGACATTGCTTAGCAAAGTTTGAAAGTTTTCTAAATAATATTTTTAATTTTAAGATTCAAAAGATTTGCGCTTTATGTTGGTCATCCATCACTATAAGTGGGTATGGCTAGTATTGTCTATGGACTAGCCTAATACATTTATGTGCTAGCCTATTGACGGGTCATGAACTACCCTATTAAATAGTCTATGGAATAGCCTATAACTAGTCTATTTACTGGTATATGAACTACTGTATTTAGTAGTCCATTGTCTAGAATGTGGAATTTGAATAACACTGGCCGACAAAATTTTAAAAAAAACCTAACCCTAAGACCAAGTTTTTTAAAGTATTGAGCCGCGCTAAATCTCCATCACATGTGGTATTTGAGATATCGTGTTATCTTGAGTTGACTTGGCGCTGTTATAATATCTCAAAAAGGGACTAGTCTATGGATCTATATAATAACTAATCTATTGACTAACCTATAACTTGGTACTTGATTAATTAATCGTATATAAATGTTGTGTAAGGTTCAGACCATTATAAGTACGATTTTAGTCAAATATACCATGACTTTCGAATACCCCTAGTGTAGTTGATTATATGGTCTAATATGGAATTTGATATAATGATGCGTTCCTGATTAAACCGGTAATTAATAAACGGTTTGATCAATTTTAATAGAACTTTGCTTGTCTATAGAGGTATTGGTGGTATGAATTTTGTCCTGATCATAAATAACCAAATACGAAGTTTTTCCCACTGTGCAACGTTAATAAGAGGAAGCCATTTATTCTAAAGTTTTACATGGTTTAAATAAAACTATTTTTTTCTGGAAAAAATGAAAGGTCCTTATGGAATTTCTAGTTAAAATAAGATTTGTTTTTAGTAAATTATGAGTATTTTTTGTGAATTTCAGTTTTGTTTATACTTTTATCTAATTAATACTTTTATTTTAATTACTTTAACTGTCAGCAGTGTTAATCATTTTACTGCTATAAATATTGCTCATATACATGACAGATTGTAATAAGGTATTTAAAAAAAATTCCATATAAATATTAAAGGGTCTTTTGTTAAAGAAAATAACAAATAATTAAAATCTCTAATCCAACTCGACTCTGTATAAGTACCAAGGAGGACAATATGGAATCTTCTTAACTGAGTTTCGGGTCTTCAAACTCCCTTTAGGTAACGCCTTTCTATAGTATTAATGTTAACTCCTCACGGCTCCGACTGCAACACCCTTTTGAAAGTGTTTGAATAATTGTTTTTTGCATTTAATAAGCTTAAATATAAATCTCTCTTCTTATGTTAGATATACATACCCAGTAAAAACTCGGTAATGGCTTGTAATTACATAACCACTTACTTTTCAATGACTACTACTTACCGTCTGCATTACTTTTAAGATTTGCACATTTTATGGAATCGCGCACAATCAACTGTTTCACACACAGAAAGCAAATAGTTTTTCTGTGTGAAAACCATTATAGGACGCTCAATAAAACAACTAATCAGTGCTGTTGTGAGTATGACAGCAAACTAACGAATCCCAGGTTCGTATTCTGTTTGAGCAATTTTTTCTTTTTAAAACAAAACAACTATTTAACTCCTTATTTGTAAGTTTTTTATAAGTGGGTATTTGTAAGCGAGCGTGGTAAGTACTTGACTCCAATGTCAATAAGTAAATATAAATGCTAATGAAGAAGCAGTGAAAGCGGCCTTTTTAGCTTTTTAACTCATTACTTTTTAAAATAAGTTTTTGCTGGGTACATACATACATAATTTACATTCGGCTTTTGATATTAATTTATTTAAATATTTCATTGTTTTTTTCCTTTTTTTTGTACTTTTCATCATCAACATCTCTGCATTTATTTTCCATTCAATTAGTGCCATGAAATGAAAATTAATGATATCAAAGCAAATTCTCTCGCACAGCATGTTATTTATAAAATTATAACAATAAAATTATTAAATGAAATTTTTGGATAATTTAAGACAAACAGCACCGTTACGTTTCTGGTGATGGCAAAAATTTAAAGAAATATTTGTTTACTTTAAGACAACAAATATCAAATGAAAAAATTTAATTTTCTAAAATTGTTTGGCTGTGTGAAAATATTTTTACAGAATTGGCTTGACCTCCACAAAGTAAATATTTAGCATTTTTCCACTTTTGCAGGAGCAAACAAACTTAAATAGCTGTTAACTAAAGTAACGTTCACATTGTTGAATTATTTGATTTTGAAATTAAGTGATCTCGCAAGAGGAGTAAGAGTAAACAAAGAGAAAGTAAGTATTTAAATAAAAAATTGACTAAAATAAATCTATAATATCCCCACGATACAAAGTAGACCTTATGAGGAAGCAAAAGATTTGCGGCCTCGGTGTCATTTTAGCCAAAATGTAATCATTTTCTCAGGCTCTTATTTCGAAAACCATTCGGAATTTTGATTTATTCTTTGAGGTTAAGTTGTAGCTCTTGTCATAAAGAACAACAATTGTGAATATATAAAATCAAAAAACTTCATCTTCATTTTTTCATTTCTAGTTTCACATTGTGAAATCTGCACTGTTTTCATAAACGACACCTGTACGTATACGTGTTAATGATTTATTGATATTACAAATATTAAGTATACGCCCAATTTAGAGAAGTATTTTTAAACATGTGGTCTTAAAGATGACATTTTTTTTATTTTATATATTCACTTTGCCTCTTGGTCTTTAATGACGTAGAGGTGTTCATATGTTATTATATTTTTTTGTGTTGCACGGTGTAATTTTTTGAATCCACCATTTTCTTTAACTTAATTAAACTATGTATACAAAGAAAATGCCTTAAATTCCTCCTCATTCTGCTTTTTTTTTGGTTTTTTAACTAAAAGTGTGAGAAATATAAATAAATTTAAAGTTTCAAAATTGTTTAATCATCTGAACAGTGTGTTCTTGCCACCAACAGATGAGTCCTGCAAAAAAAATCCTGTATCTAGTTGTTGTTGTTAAATTTTTTTCGTCAGCATTTTTCATAACTCAAATTAATGAACTAATGAATCATTTTACTTCCGTTTTTATGTGGCAAATTTTCATTTCATTGTATCGTGAATTTGAAAATGTGGTTTGAGTTTATTTCGTTCTGTTTTACAAATTGTAGCACAAAATATTTTTTAAACATAATTAGCAGCATCATCAGAGTCGTCTATTCATCATAATGGAAATTGTTAACATAAAATCATAATTTGTACATTGCGTTTTAGTAGGAATTTTTAAATTGTGTACAGATTTAGGAAATGAAATATTAAGTTTATTATGTAGTTTGTATTGTTGAAGTATTTTAAAAATATTAAATTTGTAAAGGTGAACTTAATTCAAAGATAATAAAGTATTTATGTACTTCATTATCATGATATTGTTTTCAAGCTAAAAGTTATCTTATTTTCATTATAATGTACCAGCTACAAACCTTTTAGTAATTACTAAAGGATTTGTTGTTAGTCCATATACACGAGCGACCTTTGGCAAAATAGTTAATTTACTATTACTTCTCAATTATGCTATAAATATTTGTGTTTATTTTTTATTATTTTATTTTAATTTTCCCGCTTTTGTGGATACACATTTTATAGACAACTTATGCTTGAATTATTTTAGAAAACAATATTTATTACCAAATTAGAATTTAATTAAAAAAACAACAACAAAAACTATTTTTGTTTCAAATAATCCTTGATTAAGTATCAATTTATTATAATTTATATACATATACATTGGGGTGGACCACATCTTTGTAGGAAGGCCTCCCTACCGGCGATTAAAAATCTTGATCTATGTGCAATATCCCTGCAAAAACTGTGTAATGGCTTGTACTTACATAACCACTTACTTTTCAATGACTACTACTTACCGTCTGCATTACTTTTAAGAACCATTATCGGACGCACAATAAAATAAATAAGCAGTGTTGTTGTGAGTAAGACAGCAAACAGGTTCGTATTCTGTGTTTTTAAAACAAAACAACTTTTTAACTCCTTATTTGTAAGTAAGTACTTATTTAAGTAGTTATTTGTAAGCGAGCGTGGTAAGTACTTGCCTCCAATGTCATCACAGTGTTAAAATAATCAGTTTAAATGCTAATGAATAAGTAGTGAAAAGCGTCATTTTTCAATTCATTACTTTTCAAAAGTAAGCAAGTGGTAATTCGGGATAAGTTCGGTGCTGTTGCCAACAGATAATCCACAGAGGAGTAAGACTGTGAACTAAGCGTTGGAAATGAGTTCGTTTAACAAGATTGGGTGTTTCGGATGTTTTTCTCAGTGAGTGTGCCGAATGAACGATAAGTATGCTGGATTGAATGGCGATAGATGTAAGGTAACTTATACAAGTGATACCATGGAATTTTCCTTCTTTGTCCAGATATGTTCAGAGTAAACTCTGTTCATACCATATTTACCACAGTGTATTCTCTGGGAGCAAAAACAAGTCCTCGGCTTATTTGATGGATTCGTATTTCGGTCTATCCATTACGTCTCTAGGTTCTGTTGCCGACTCAATAGAAGCCATCCCATCTACGTGGTTGTAAGCGAAAGTG